AGCCTCCTCCTCCTATTCCTTTTTGTTTGAGACATGGTCTCAAGCTGGCTTCGAACTCACCAAGTAGTGTAGGGTTACCTGGAATTCTGATCGTCCCATGTGTTTGGGTTATGGGTGTTCACCTACCATGTGTTTGGGTTATGGGTGTACACCACATGCACAGTAGTTTGGTGCTATGGATCAATCCAGGGCTGCTTGCATACTAAATGAGCACTGAACCAACCCTAGATCTTCTTGAGTTGTAAACTCTTTATCCAATTCACTGGCTTCTACCTGTAAAAATGCTATAGAAGGTCTTCATCTAATAGTTGCCTCCCAACCCTGTGCTTAAAATCAAACGAAAGACTTTATACAATCTTAGAGATCAAAGTCACTAGGTTGTCTCCTCCTAATTTTTGTCTTGAGACATGGTATCTCTATGTAACCCCACCTGTTCTGGAACTTGTTATGTAAGACCAGGCTAGCCTGGCACTCACAAGACATCTAACTGACTCTGCCTCCTGATTGCTGAGATTAAGGAATGGTGTGTGCCACCACAAACATCGATTCCCAAATCTGTTTTTTTTTTGTTATATTGTCTAATATTTCACAAAGAACATATTTAGTAGTAGACTCCCAAGCACCTCCTCTTCAGAGACAATCAACAAACCTTCTGCCATAGGAAATAGACCTGTTAACAAGAACCAAGTCTGACTGAACACCAGAGAGCAAACAGCACGGTCATCTGATTGGTCTTCATGCATTGCCACAGAAGCTTGGTGATGGTCTACGCCCATTGCTGTGAAGGTTTGTTGGTGGTCTGTGCACATTGATGTGAAGGTTTTGTGATGGTCTGCACATTGCTGTGGAGGCTTGGTGAGAAGCATTTTCAGGTGCTTTGGTGAAACTCAGGCATCTGTAGCATTACTACCAGTCTCATAGTTTAGCAAAATGTGAAGTAGGTGTCTTGAATCCAGATTGTCCTCGCTATGTATGATGGGGGGGGGGCGGTATACTGGCTAGTTTTATGTCAACTTGACACAAGTTAAAGTCACCTGAGAGGAGGAACCCTCACTTGAGAAAATGCCTCTATAAGATCAGGCTGTAGGCAGGCCTGTAGGAAATTTTCTCAATTAGTGATTGAAAAGTTTCTGCACCCTGATAAGCCTCTCCACCAATTCAGCAATCTAAATCAGACCAAATCAAATCCAATTAGAAAAAGCCCACACTTAATGGATACAGTGCTTCTGGATGGCCTTCCAGCTCCCCAGAGAGGAGACAGGAAAGAGAGACCAGAACACTACTCGTCTATTTCTAGGAGGCAGTTTACCTGTGGGAGTGGTCTTGAGCATCTCTGGGGGAGGGGTCATCATTTGGTGGGCTTTCTGAGATGCAGCGGGGTTTGGAGGGATATAGGAGAGAGGGGCTTGGGTGGAACTTCACCATAACATCCCAGTGATCAGTAGGGGAGGGCTGTGGTAGGTAGTGCCATCCCTGGGCTGGTGGTTCTGAGAAAGCCATGAGGAACAAGCCAGTAAGCAGTGCCTCTCCATGGCCTCTACATCAGCTCCTGCCCTGTTTGAGTTCCTGTCCTGATTTCTTTCAGTGATGAACAGTGATTTGGAAGCCTAAGCCAAATAATCCCTTTTCTCCCCAACTTGCTTTTTTTTTTTTTTTTTTTTTTTTTTTTTTGAGACAAGGTTTCTTTGTGTAGCTTTGGAGCCTGTTCTGGCACTTGCTTTGGGAGACCAGGCTGGCCTCGAACTCACAGAGATCCGCCTGCCTCTGCCTTCCGAGTGCTGGGATTAAAGGCGTGTGCCACCAATACCTGGCCCCAACTTGCTTTTTGGTGATGGTGTTTCATCACAGCAATAGAAATCCTAACTAAGACAGAAGGTGATCATTACATTTCTGGCCACACACACACACACACACACACACACACACACACACACACACACACACACACCACACCCGGTATGACAAGTTCATACTAGGATCTTGCTTCAGATGGTCATTAAATCTGTATCAGTGGAGTTTTCTGTAGGATCTCTTTTCTTCCTCCTGAAAATTAATGTTGGTGTATTTCCAGTTCTTCCTCTACTTGTGTGATTTTCAAGTTATTTATTGTTTCAATGGCTCTGTATTATCCTCTGAATGTTTTTGTCAGCTTGACACAAACTACAGTCATCTAGGGAGAGGGGACCTCAGCTGAGAAATTGCCACCATCAGATAGTTCTGGGCCTGTGGGAGTGGGTTTTTTTTTTTTTTTAATTACTGATTGATGTGGGTACACCCAGCACACTGCAGGTTGGTGCCACCACTGGGCAATGGTTGTTTGTATAAGAAAACAGGATGAGCAAGCCATGAGGAGGACCAAGTCAGCAAGCAGCTAGTCTCGCCTCCAGGATAGACTTGTGACATGGAATGTAAGCTAAACAAACTCTCCTTCCCCAGGCTTCTTGTGGTCAGAATGTTTTATGACAGCAACAGGAATCAGACTATGCCATCCAGAGGAGCAAGCGTGGTGTGAGAGAAGTTGCCTCAGAAATGGTGGACACTTTAAAGGCATGCAGTAACACTAAGGGAATGAATTTTCAATTTCAACTTAGTTTGAATGAACTTGCATTTAAAATGCCAAAATTAAACAAATGAGGCCAGGCCTGGGCACATGCCTATAATCTGAGGAAGGATGGTATCTGTGAGTTCAAGGCTAGGTTGGTAGGTTTTGGGTCATCTTGTATAATTGTGGACCTATCTCTTAAACAAACAAATATGAACAAATCTAAGTTAATTTCCCCCACTAACAGAGCTGTGCTGTTTTGAATGACTCCATTTCATTTGGACTGGTGTAGCATGTCAGCAGTTACTGTGACATCTTGCTGTGTTGTGAGTAGATGTGTCAAGTCATGTACACACGTTGCCAGTCTAGTGTCATCGAGATGGCTTAAATGTGATGATTAATATAATAATAGGGTTATTCAAATATTTTCTGCAGATGGAACATATACTACTGGTATTTGAATATCTTGTGTGTGTGTGTGTGTGTGTGTGTGTGTGTGTGTGTACACGTGCGTGCATGCGCGCGTGCGCACAAGCGCACGCAAAGCTTTCTCTCCATGGAAGCTTGTTGGCTGGGGACAGAATGTGACCAGCTGTTCCACCTATGCTCCTGCTGCCACAGCTTGGGCTGCCCTAGCCACCATGCCTAGTCGGGATGGTACTCTGAAACTGTGACCCTAAATAAGCCCTTCCTCTATGTTGGCTTTGTTAGACATTTTGTCTCAGCAAGGAGAAAAGTAACTAATACAGTACTTAAAAGTATTAGCTACTTAGCTTCCCAGTTCTCAGTAAGGGGCATGTCTAGCTCCTGCTTCACCACTGAGGTAGAGTTTGGTGCAGAATGATAACTCAGAGCATCATTAGACTCTAGGAGCTGATGGATGTCAGGGACGTATGCCTGACTGCGGGTTGTACCCCCCGGGAAAGTCTGTCCCAAGTTAGAGCGACCAGATACGGCAGGGCAAAGGCTGAGCAGGAGGGCAGCTGGGTGCAGTTCTACAGAGGAATTGGGGATGGCGGCAGTGGCACAGGAGGGCTTGTGGCGGCTGCCTCGTGTCAGTCAGCCTTATTTAGCTACTGAAGCAGATCGCAGGAGGTGTAAGCAGCTCTCAAGCATCAGGGACTCCAGGGTGGGGAAATGTAGGTTGGGTGACCTTGGTACTGTGTAACCATAGCAGTCATGCAGCTAGGCAAAAGCCAAATAGAGTTCTGAGGAAGATCACTGGGCTCTTGTTGTGACATAGACTGGACAGTTCCTTTCTGTTTTGAAGGGCCTGGACATTGAGCCCAAGGCCAGTGCCAGTAGACACCCAGCTACATCCCCAGCCTTGGCGACACAGGCCTGCTTAGAACTCTGCTGCTCCTGCCCTTGAATACTGTTCAGTAGAGCCGTCCCTGACTTGCTAAGCCAAGCCCACTGCTTTCTGGATGGCCAGAGCTTTTATGTTTGAGAAAATGTGCAGAAACGATTCCACAGCCCTCTTCTGCTTCTCTCTCTTGACCTTCAGTGGGGGTTGGGTGCATATTTCCTACTTCTGCAGAGCTGTGACTATGTCACATGACCATGAGAGTGGGTGGTTCTGGCACTCATGTTCCTCTCTTGCCCCACTCCTGTGCCCTTGAGAAAAGGACTATGGTTGCACCCGCCCTTCCGATCAACAGTCCAGTGGGCCCAGAGAATCCTGGTAAATCACCCGTGTTCCTCTTACTTCATCAGTGGGCACAATGGTTTGGAATGAGGGCCATAAATGTCTCAAATTCATATGGTCAGCAGCTAACTCTTTCTAGGACTGTGCTAGGCTTACATGGCTAAGAAATACTTCCTATAGAAAGCCAGGCATGAGGTGAACTGGGCAGGGGCTCACAATAGGGAGCAGCACACCGACAGCTCTCTGATGTCATTCCTATCCTGCTGTTGCGGGTCTCAGCCCGTTTTGCTGTGTTAAGCTGTTGTGCCCGAGTCACAAGGATCCCCAAAGAGACCAGGGAGACAGACCACCGATACAAATGCATAAGGTTTATTAAATTGTTTATCCTACACTTCGAGAGGGACCCTATCTAGCAAGCTGACACAGCAGCCTCCAGAGGGGGTGAAAAAAGAAAACCAAAAAAAAAAAAAAAAAAAAAAAAAAAAAAAAAAAAAAAAAAAAAAAGACAAAAGTTACAGGATTACATCAGTAGGTATGAGTTGGTTTTTGATTGGTTGACATTTGGGGAACAATCAAGAAATTTCTCAATGTCATACTTTGACATGAAATACCTATGTACCAATTATTCCCATTGGTCAGTGCTGAGAGGGAACATCCTGTGGTCTCTATGGCTTTGTCTTGTTACTTGCAGGTGGTCTGTTGTTCACAGATACCAATAGTTTTCAGAACTGTATCGTGGAGATTATAGGGGAGGTTTTGGTCTCCCCTGGAGTGTCTTTTGTGGCCAAATAGTTCCCAGGAACCAAGTACCTAGGAGGCTGGGAGGTGGATGGGCAGTATGGAGTTTCTTTGTGTTCGGTTTTGGCCTTAGGCTCTGGGAGGCCAGAGGATCTGTAGTTTTCTTGTGCTAGAGGCCTACATGTCTTTTCTATAGCCTGTCATGGATGCTATTCAGGGACTTAATGAGAGTCTGGTCCCTTTATTTCTAAATTATTAGAAGTGAAGCCTTTGAGTTTAGTTTTCCCCTTTCAAAGCAAGGTTTCCTGACCTGGGATAGCCATGTCCTTGCCAATATGGGGGACTGTTGGTTCCAACAGTTGGCCTGTCACAAGGGAGATATGTTCATCTGATTTTGCTCCTGCAAAATTCAGTCAGGGCCTCAGGGTGTCATACAGTTGGTAGAATACTTGCCTAGTGTGATGGTTGGCTTTAAACGCCAACTTGGCATCATCTGTAACTACCTGAGAAGAGAGCTTTTCAGTGGAGAAATTATTTCATCAGGCTGGCCTGTGAGCACGCCTACAAGAGGGATCGTCTTGATCACTAATGTCCAAAGCCCCGGCTGGTAATTGGCAGCACCATTCTGCAGGCATGGGGTTCTGAATACAGCAAGATAAAAGAAAGCTCGAAGAGCTGGTGGGTGGCATGAGGGCATTCGTCTCTCTCTGTTCCAGACTGTAGATGTGACATGTCAGTGGCTTAAGTTGCTGCTTTAACTTCCCCTGAGTGATGGACTGTGATCTGGAATTGTGAGCCAAATAAATTCTTCTTTGACTGAGTTGCTTTTTATCAGGGTATTTTATCACAGCAAAAAAAAAAAAAAAAAAAAATGACACTAGAACCCCTGGCATGCACAAAGCCCTGGGTGCAATCGCCAGCACTGCATATATTGAGCATGGCAGTACACCCCAGCATTCAGGACCAAAGACAGGAAGATCAGAAATTCAAAGCTATCCTTAGCTACTTAGCCAGTGGGAGACCCCTAGGATATATGATATAGGTGATCCTGCCCACCGCCCCCAGGAAAATTCACCTTCAGTTTGAATATCTATTACAAGCTTATTAGCACTACTGTCCCCCAAGGTTAGGGATGAGCAAAGATGTAACTCAGGCCACATCTACTCATTATACTTGAGGCTCTAACTTGAGCAGTAAATAAAGAAAACGAAAAGGGACACACATCAAAAAGGAAGAAATAAGTGGACATGGTGGCTCATACCTATGATGCCATCACTCAGATTACAGGTTCAAGGCCAGGCATGCTACAGAAGACTTTCTCAAAAAGTGAACAACAATTAAACAAACAGCAGAAGGATAGCTTTGAAATTTAAACAGTCACATAGTACACCTAAGCCACTAGAGAACACAAGACCATGTGCTTAACATTGTTACCACCATCAGCTAAGAGCCAGAGCGGGAGGCAGCTCCCCTCTGTCTGTTGAGCTGAAACTGCTAACCATGCAAAGTTACGGAAATCCTTCTTCAACCTTGCTGGTGGTAATTCAAAACAGTATAAACTAAAACTTTGGGCATGTGTGTTGTTTGTTTTTCTTTTGAGATGGCATCCCACCTTCTTAGCAAAGGATCGAACTAAGAAACTGAAATTGCCTGTGCAGGAGAATATATAACTGGACAGTGGTGTACAGGGAAGGGGATGCTGGGAGATAATGAAAAGGACAAGGCATTAGTTACCTTTCTCATTGCTGTGACTAAATACATGCAAAGAAGCAATGCAAGGGAGAAGGTTAATTCTGGCTCATGGTTTGATAGGATACAGTCTCCCATGAATGGGAAGGCACAAGGGCGGAGTGTAAGGCTGCTGGTCACATTGTATTCATAATCAGGAAGCAGGAAAAGGAATGGCAGTATCCAGCTGGCTTCCTCTCCCCCATCCCCCTCTTTTTAGTCAGTCTAGGACCCAAATCCAAGGTGTGTCTCCTAGGTAGTTTCAAATCCAATCAAGTTGGCAATAAAGACTAACCATCGCAGACACCGATGAAACTGAAAACTGTATTGACTGGCAGAAGCGAGTGTGTGAACACATATCAATAGTTCCAGTCCTAAGAAGTTCAAGAACAGACAAATCTGTGGCTTGTGGAGGGCTGAGGGGCAGTTTGGTACTGACCAGAGAAGCACACAGAGGGAGGGCTGCAGGGCAATGTGTTACCAACTGAGGATTCAGAGGTTATAGAAAATGTCCTGCTCTTAATCTGGTTGCTGGCTATCTGAATGCACATGGCTGCTAAAAAATCCACAAAACTGTCCAGGCATGGAGGCTCAGGCCTAAAAACCAGTACTGGAGAGGCTGAGGCAGAAAAATTGCCACAAGTTTAAGGGCAGCCTTGGCTACATAGTGAATTCCAGGCTACAGAATAAGACTCCATCTCACAAAAATCAAAACAATCCATGGATCTGGGATGACAGTCGAACTCCAGGGGTAGAATGCTTGCCCAGCAAATGGGAGTCCCTGGATTATGAAATCCTAGTACCACACAAACCAGGCATGGTAGTGTACCCTATAGTCCCAGAACTTAAGAGGAGGGAGCAGGAAGATCAAAGATTCAAGGCCAGTCTGGACTACACAACACCCTCTACTGAAAACAAACAAATAAACAATCTATGGAGGTATATACTTAAAGATTCTGTACCTTAGATCAGGGAGATAGCTCATATATCATTGTCTATGACTTGATATCAAGCCTAATGACCTGAGTTCAATTCCCTGATATCCACATGATGCAAGGAGAGAACCAACCCCCCCACAAGATGTCTTCCAACTTTCACAAGTGTCTTCTGTGGCATGCATACACATGTACATACATACTAAATAGATAAATAAATTTAATACAAAAATTTTAAATCTGTGTGTTTTGATGCCAGATAAATTGTATTCCATTATAATATCTGGATAAGTTAAAGTAAGCTACAATTTATAAGGGGAAAATTTCATCATTACAGAATATTGATATTGATACTAAATAATGTTTTTTGCTCAACTGGATCTTCATGAGGACTTGGTTAAAAACCTGGTTGTATTTATCTATTTATTTATTTTTGAGACAGGGTCTCACTATATAGCTTTGTCTGGCCTGGAGCTTTCTATGTTGACTAGGCTGGCCTCAAATTCCCAGGCCTCTGTAGACTGCCTTAAGTGATGGTGTTAAAGGTTTGTCACTGTGCCTGACCCTGACTATGCACAGGACGTTGTGAACTTGTCCCTAACCCAGGAAATCCCTGTCACTTACTTTGGAACCAGGGTGGCATGGCTCCAGTTGGATTTATTCTCACTTTTGGTTCTAAGCTCTTTTCTTTCTTTCTTTTTTTTTTTTTTTTTTTTTTTTTTTTTTTTTGTGAGTGTG